CGAATTTTTCGCGAGTTGTCGCGAGTTGCCGCGAGTATCTTGCGAGTATTTTTCCTCGTGTACAACGAGTTGACGAGCGGGGGACCCCTCGCGTGTAGCCGCACCGGGACCGCGGGGAAAGAGAAGAGGAAGGAGGGATAGGGGGGAGGGAGGCTGGCGCTTCATTTGTCACGCCGTTCTGTCTGTCTGTCACCCCCTCGGCCCGTCCGTCGGCCCGCCCCCGTGTACGTCGACTCCATCCATCTCTCCGAGTCCTCCATCTCTCTCTTTCTCTGCTGCGTGTCGTGTCCCTTTCTCTCCCTCTCTCGCCCTCCCTATCTGCCTAACTCTCTCACACGCACTACCCCACTGTTTCCCCGCCTCCCACCCGCACATTTCGCCTCGCCTTCGTCATATTGGCTCTGCAAGTTAACCAGAGGCAAAATAATTATAATTCTGATTGGAGCTGAGGGCGAAGGAGTCGGAGAGGTTGGGGGGGGGGGGGGGGGGGGGGGGGGGGGGGGGGGGGGGGGGGGGGGGGGGGGGGGGCGACGGTGCTGCACAGCTTTGCGACCCACCCTTGTTTGCCGCGAATGAAATAGTCATTGGGGGATTACTGGAATGGGGCTCTTTGGAGCGCCTGAACGGCACTCTGCAGCAGCTCCAAAGACTTAACGGGCGTATGCGTATGCACACAGACACACCCACACCCACACACCAGCGGCGAGGACGAGAAATTGTTTAAGAACAAGATAAATATAACATCGCATGAATGTATTTGTTTTTCCAGCGGGAACTATAGTACCTTACCCCACCTTACCCCACCTCGCCCCACCCCGCCTCGGCCCGCCACGCCACGTTGCGGAATAAATAAGCATGAGACTGTGTGTCGCGTTGCGCGGTGAGGAGGCGAACGTCACGTCACGTCTGCACCAGGCTAAGAGAATTGGGGAGAGGGAGTGGGGCTGTACAGAGAGAGAGAGAGAGAGAGAGAGAGAGAGAGAGAGAGGTGGAGGGGGAGAGAGACAGCCAGACATGACGGGTAAGAAAGGGTGGCGGAAGGCGCTGCGCATGGTTCCGGGAGTGTCACCATCCGTTCGCCCCACTGCGCGCAGATATGCGTGATGAAGGCGGCCGAGGCCGTCAATGGGAAGAAGAGAGATAGATATTGCGGTGTGCAGAGAGAGAGAGAATGGCAGTTCTGGCGGCAATAGGATCCAGGCATAGTAGAGACTTCGATGCATTATTTTTATTTTTGGAAAAACGGTCCTGTTTTTATCTGAAGCTTATTACACACTAAATGACCATGGATATTTTTGTAACTGCCTATGGAGGATTTTAAAAAGAACGAAGCTAGATACATATTGGACTGCTCAATTGTGTGTTGTTAGTTACAAGTAGAAACTAACGACCCACAAAAATGTTACTTATTAGTTATTTTTAAAAACGTCCATAGGTAGTAACAAAAAATGTCTTTGGTCGCATCTAGAATGAGACACAATACCTTGATGCCATACAAATTACCGGCGCATTTTCGTTGTTGCCATATTCAAAAATTTGTGACGCAAATGTTTGACATCGCCCTTTGCTTGTTTTGTTGCAGGTGGCCGGCCCCCCGGGTGGGGGCGATGTCTGGGCCCGAGGACTGTGACTGCCCGGGCCCGCCGCTACCTCCGCCACCGCTCTTCGACCTCCCCCCTCCTCCCCGCCCCCCTTTCTTGCAGGCCGAGCCCTGCTCAGACCAGCCCCTTAAGGACATCGAAACGTGCGACGCCCTGCCTGTAAGTCTCAACATTTTATTTGCCTTTCAATTTTACTTAAACTTGTTTCTATTTTATTTTTAATTGAAACCCGAAAGTACGGCGCGCACCTTTCGCTTTCGCCCTGATTGCGATGACAGCAATATAAACGCCAATTGCTTTGGGGTGCGGAACGAAGTCTGAGGACGAGAAGCAAAGCACCAAACAAAAACCTAAAAATAAAAGCAGAGGGAAAAGTTTTAGTGGGAACAGGAGAAAAGGGGAGGGAGGAGATGAACAGGGCAAGAGAGCGAGACGGATCATAAGACGTGGTGACCGTGTGGGTGTGTGCAAGAGAGGGGGGAAAAGAGAAGGGAGGAAGAAGAAAAGAGAGGTCCACGAGTAGACAAAAGATGGGGAAGGAGCTCTTGAGGGTTTAGAAGAGATTCTTTAGGCGGAGCTGCTGGCTGGGGTCCCGAAGGGTCCCCGCCGAGGCTGGGCCGCCCCCGCCCCCGGGGCACGGTCGCCCCATTGAGGGAGCGCCCGGTAGGTAGGCAACCGTGACCGGCGGCGGCGCGCAGCTGTGTGTTGCGGGTTTGCCGGGGTGCACGGGAGCGGGTCCAGACGCTGGAGCGCGAGGCCTGAAAGGGATGCTGTGCGGGAGGGGAGCACGGCGGGCGGAGCAGGATGCGGCGAGGTAGTGAGTGAGAGGGGCTTTTCGGCCTAGAGTGACTGTAGTGGGAAGAGCGTGGAGGCTCGCGGTGGTGCGAGCAGAGAGAGAGAGAGAGAGAGAGAGAGAGAGAGAGAGAGAGAGAGAGGTGAGGTGCTCCTTGAGATGCAGCGCACGCACTTGTCCGAGCATGGCATATCCCCGCGGCGGCCCCTCCCTCCCCCTCTCTCTTCTCTGCCCGCAGCCCCCGCTCCGTTCCGCCGACCGGATTTAATCCGGAGTAGTCGGGGGAATATTTGATTAGGCCGCCAGTAGACTATTGTGATCTGTTTGTTGTTCAAATCCGGGGGAAGGAGGAGAGAGAGAGAG